GATGGGGGGGGTCCCCGGCCTCCCGGCTGATAGCCAGGTGGGAGGACCACCCCACCCCAGGATTCCCCGGGGCTCCGCCGCCCACTCCCGGGCCGGGGTGGGAGGGGGCGTTCCTCCACCGTTATGGGTTATGACCACGTCATTGCTGTGCTGCTGCGGGGTGGGCTGAGCTCCTGGGCCTCCAGGGGCAAAGGATGCCACCACCCCGCCCTACCCCTCCCCGTGCGCTTCCTAGGGAAGATATTTTTTGCCTCCGCCTTCGCCGTGGCCTTGAGAAACTTTGAGTTTGGATGAAGGCTCTGGGGACACGGAGGCCTAGGGATTCTGTGTCTTGACCAGGTCAGTTAGCAGGTGCTACAGAGCTGGCCTCTTCCTGATGTTCTCTGGAGGGACAGGGCACTCTTGCTCCCCAGACCCCTGGTCCAATATTGGTGGACGCCCAGCCCCCCGACCTTAGTGCCCCCTTTCCTTATCCCTGAGAATATCCAGGAGGTTGCGACTTCCGCAGGGGCCCAGGGTGTGATGGGTGTGAATGTTGCAGGGAGCAGAATTATCTGGGAACAGTGAAATGCCCATCTGAGCAGGGGGGTGTGTAGCCTGTGCTGTCTTTGTCGGTTTGTGAAAAACCGAGAGTTGGTTTTGGGGACAGGGAGGCCCCCGGGAAACTAGCTCCCAGCTGTAGTCCCAGAGATCAGCCCTGGTGGAGGCTGGGTGAGAGTTCCCAGCCGCTGTGGGAAGGATGTGCTGAGATGAGCTTTCTCCTTCAGTGGCCCAAAGTGCTCCGGAAAGGCCAGCTCCCCTTGGAAAAGGGGCTGGAGACCGTGCTGGTGAGTCTGCCTTCTCCTGGCCTCGCCCTCTGTGTTACCATTTCATCCTCCGTCTCTCTGAGTCCGGGCCCCAGGAGAAGTGAACTTTTCCTGAATTCACCTTGTTCTCCTTCTCCCTGGCACTGATGCCTTTCTCTGGGGGGTAAACCAAGGCAGAGAAAGAGCTATCATATTTTGGAACGGAGGCCATTCATCGGCATTGTACAGATGAGGAAACCGAGGCACCGAGGGAGCAGTGAGCTGCTCTGGGTCCTTTCACTACACACGAGTACCTTGACTTCCTGACCTACCCGGGCAGACTTCAGTTGTCTCTCTGGCATTAACTCAGTGGGAGGTTCTGACCAGCTGTTGTTCCCAGTGAAAGGAGCTACATGTGCCCGGCTTATGAGCAGCTGCTCTGAGCACAGGGCCCTAAAGCCGGCCCCTGGCAACTCCACTCTGTGTGCTTTGGGCTGCACGATGATGCCCAGAAATTGCTGGGGTGACTGGTGGAAAGGGATGGGATTCCCAGGAAGCCAAATGGGAACCAGCTGTTGGTGGACTGTCAGGACAGTGCCAGAGAGCCAAGGACCCACCGTTCTAGAGGGAGACCATGTGGAGCTGGGGGTGGGATCCCCTACAGGATGGCAGAGGCAGGGTCAGGCCTCAGAGCGTCCCCTCTGGGTCATGGAAAGAGCACTGGGTTTGTAGAGCAGAGCACTGGCTTCTCACCTGTATCATCCCCCGCTCACCTCACATCTGCACATCTTCCATGTACAACGTGGCAAAATAATCCCCACTGCACGGGGCCACTAAGGACCACGGGGGGCGGGGGCAGAAAGGTGCCTGGCATGGTGCTTGGTGACTGAATCTCCCTTCCAACTTGATCCTTTATCTGCCACCCATCCAGAGATCTCTACGATGGTTCTAGACCAAGAGCCTCCCCCCACCCCCAGGCTGATTCTCCACCCTCAGTTTTCTTACCTAACAGCTGGGTATGAAAATATCTTCCTCAGAGGGGTGGGAGGGTTTTGGAACCTTGTCAAGAGGTTATTACAGACGGGAAGTGTTATTATTCCTGGAGATTCTGGTCTGGATTGAAGCCTTCTGTTCCCTGCCTCGATGGGGGAGATGTGGTTCCCTGGGCGGAGCTTATCCCCCCGGCCCTCTCCCCCTGGCCAGTCTCGGTCACTCTTCTAGGCTAAGATGGCCTGCCAGCCCTCCCAAGTCTATTCAGATTGTTCCGGCCCTTGAGGACTTCCTTACCTCCAGAAAAAGGGTATTTCCTGGGATATTTAACATGTTTAACAGGATTTTCCACCCCACGAGATGATACACTACTGGCCCAGTGGACCGTCCTGTAGGCCAGCATCCTCCCCGTGGACTCCCGCTCTCAGGGACTCACTACTCTGGCTCTTCCTGCGAGGCGGCTGATGGAAGAGCACTAGAGAGAATGGGCAGAAGGTGCTGGATCTCTGCAGTGTCTGGGCTGTGGGAGTCCACGTGGCGTTCAGGCCCCGGCAGGCTCACTCTGGGAAGGGTTGTAATGAAAGCGCTTAGAGGAGGAGCTCCGCTGGGGTGAGAGCAGCAGCTTTTAGTGCCCTGTTTTGCCCAAAGTGGGGCCTAGGGCTCTCAGAGAGAGCAGTGGTTCCCCCACATCAGCATGGGTGGCTAAATGGGGCTCCACTGATTGGGGGCAACTCATGCAAGGTGGGATTATGGGGAGAGCTGCGATGAGGAGGTGAGCAGCCGTGAAGCATGACCTGTCCTCATTCTAGATCTGTCTGGATTGCTCGGCGCCAGTGGAGGGTGCGCTCAAGGAGAGTGAGCACCCCATGGCCAGAGCTCCACGTCTGTTTCCAGGGCAGACTATGCATCCAAGCTGCCGTGCTCCTTGCCAGCACCCTGGGACTGGGACTGAGACACACAGAGCAGGGCCTAGGGGAGGGGCGCCCCAGCATCACCAGTATCCCCTCCTGAGTCCTCCTGGTCATCGGTGATGTCTTCAAAAGGGGAAGTGGTGCAGGCGCCCACTTAGAAAGTTGAATTAGGACCCGAGAGTCCTGGGCGCCTGCCATCTGTCTGTCCCATCTTTCCACTCTGTTGTTTGACATGAGCACCCTCAAGGTGCTGTTGGGAGACTGAGGCTACGCTGGGGGATGAGTTCTAAGCCCACAGGCCTTTATTCCTGTCAAGTCAGGGCCTCTGGCATCTTCAGGGAATCAGAGGCGGAAAGGTGAGGTCAGCTCCCAGCAGGAAGCCAAGCTGTTCCCCCCAAAACCGAGTGGCCTGGCCAAGGAGCGTGACCCTGAGACAGGAGCCTCCCCATTCTGGCTGAGCTTTCTCTGAGTCATGCCCAGCTGAAGGGACAGTGGCTCAGGCCAAGGGGTCCTGGCCAAAATGCAAGGGACTCTCAGGTCTTTGGAGAGGCAAGTGAGTTAAGATGACCCTGTGGCCCTTGGCTGGGGATATGGCTGTTGAGCCTTTGATGTTCAGGCTGCACTGCCTTGGGTGTCTGAGTAGCAGGGATTTGGCCAGAAGCTAGAAAGGCCCAGAGGCCAGGGGGACCTCACCTGGGGCCCTGTGGGACGTCAGCTGTGCTGTGATGGAGGCCATGGAACATGGAGAACCCGTCACATGTGGACGCACTGCCTGGGGGCCCTCGGGAGCTGGCTTCTGTTTCTTCAGCACCTGTGAGTCTTCTGCATGTAACAGTGAAATGCACCTGCCACTGAGGGCCGTCGGGAGGATGAATGGGGGGAAGTGGAAAGGTGCCCAGAATGGTGCATGGTGACTGCAAGTCAGTCCCCTTCTTTTCCTTTGGTCCCTTTACCTGCCGGGTGGCCACCTGTCCACAGATCTGTGGGATGGCTGGCCACACTGTGGTGACTCCAAAAGGTGTCTAGTAATATCTGACCCACAATGCCGATTGCTCTGGGCAGTGTTAGAAGTGAGCTGTTCCCTGAGAAAAGCTTCGGCTCCCTGAGGATCTGACAGATGGGGTCTTCTCAGAATCACCGGATAATGGGTGTGTGTTTGTGTGTGTGTGTGACCTGCAGTATGAAGAACAAGCTGTTACTGGGCCAGGGATTCCTCCTGGGCTGGGGCCTCGTGGGCCTGGGCTTGTAAACTAGGCCAGGCTTAGGGAGGCCTTCTCAGGCCCCAGAAGAGCAGTTCCCTGAACGTGCGCCTGGTCTTCCACCCTGGTGCCTTTCAGTGGCCTCGTGTTCTTTGTCGTTACTTTTTAATCTTCTCCACACCCAGGAGAGAGGTAGAGCAGGTGCGAGCAACCAGGGCTCTGAGAAACTGTGATAACCACAACCTGCCCCCTACCTCCCCACAGTGGCGGAACCCAGGCTGGGCCCGCAGCCAGTCTATTGCAGCCCGGCTGACACCTCCTGAGCTCACCTCCTATCGCTACTGCTGGTGGTTTTGCTGAAGTGGCTTAAGACAAAAGGACTTGGAAGTGAAGGTCAAGTGTCCCTCCCTTGCCCCTCTACACTGGGCAGGGTGCCCAGAGCTGGGTTCTGCTGAAGGACAGCTCTTGTCACGAGAGCAGGGAAAACGGAAGGATAGGATTCCCACCCCACCCCAGCCATGTTCAGAGGGCTGAGGCAAAGCTGAGGACAAGACTCTGCAGCCAGGCCCAGGCCCCACCTCCAGGGAGGGCTGCTCAGAGCCTGGCCCTGGCATGTGCAGCTTACTCGGGGTGGAGGCCAGCTGGAGGGGACAGGAAGCAGCATGCAAGCCTCTGGCCTGGTCACAGAGCTGAAAATTGGAGAAACCTAAGAGCCAAGTCCCTATGGGTCTGGGGAGGCAACTCAGACCAGAGTAGCCCTGATCTGATCTTAACCCAGAGAGGAGGG